CTACAATTTCCTGGCATAAAGGTAGTGCTGGCTAAGTTATTCCTTGGTTTCTATCTGGTCTTTTTCCCTGATGAACTGTGCTGTTGAAAGGTATGAATTGATGAGGACTTACTTTACCTGGAAGGCTAATGATTTGCCCCTTGCTTCTCTTGCTTGGGTCCCATACTTCATCTTGCTTGTCTTTCTTGGAAGTTCTTCCCTCAATAGTAAGAGCCCCCTAATCCAATCTATATATAATACTATTCCCAAGAGAAGTAAGTTCTAAAAGGGGAAAGTTATTGGAAAAAAAAAAAAAAGAGATATCATCAGGTTAATAAAATTGTTGCTCCTATTCAACACTTGTAATCAAATCTTTGTCTTAGCAGTTCCAGCTTTATGTTGAGTTGCTTAACTGTGCCCTTAGAATCTCTTTTCCATGTTATCCTTTTCCTACACTGAATTTTTTTGCTGGGTTGAATTTTGGAAGTGGGAGCAGAAGATAGAGAGAGTCCTGTGTATATTGAGGTAAGGAGGAAAGCTTTGGCAACCCACGAGGACAATAGCTATCTGCCAAGATAGTCTAGGTAGGATTTTTAATTTGTGTGTATATGAATTGCTTTATTTAACCAAGGCTGGCTGAGAATATGCTGATTCAGAAAATAATTTATAGTATGCTAGCCATTTACTTATATTGCATAAAATTGAAGATCTTCTCAATGCACATAAAAGCACTCTGTAGTTTTCAGTTTTTATATATGTTTAATGACTTACAATCAAGAAGCTCTTTTTATGATAGTTTTATAAAAGTACAGTCCCTTAAAAATTTACCTTATTATAAACTCATATATCATTACAAATATTTAGTTTTATAGTAATATTCAAATATGGTTATTGTTCACATTGTTTTTCGTTACTGAAATGATAATGTCTTGTTTGAATATTATTTTTATGTATTATATCTTTCAGTTGAATTTGTTGTATTCATATTTGCTTAGGTTGGTCTGATTTATGACAAATATTTGGACATATGTGTAATTCATTGAATCTTGAATTATAGAGGAGGAATCATAAAGGCTTTTCTAATCCTGATTGCCCACTTAAAACAGAAACTCATCTTCAACCAAGTTTTGATATTCAGATCTTATAATTGCTGCTTTATTGTAGCCATTGGTAGGGAATGTATTCTTTTTAGGGATTCCATTCTACATTGGTAGGAATGTATTCTTTTTAGGGATTCCATTCTACATTGGTAGGAATGTATTCTTTTTAGGGATTCCATTCTATTTCTGAATAGTTGTAACTATTTGAAAATTATACCTTGAATCTCTCTCACTGTGTTACCTCAACTGTTTATCATAATTTTGTTCTTTTAGAACTAGACATTCTTCTATAAAAATGTTCTTCAGTGGTTTGAAGACAGATGTTGTGGGTCTCACATCTTATTTATGTCAAGAAAACCCAGTTTTTTATTTATTTTTTAATTGTTAGTCATGTTACAGGATTTCTCTATCATCATCACTTAATGGACATGTTTGGCTTTCTTGGCTTTAAAAGTTTTTTTTTTTAATATATATACATATATTTTTATTTTTGTTACAGATGTTTCTCCTTTTCCCCCCATTGACAGCCTCCTCCCCATTACCCCCCAACCCCTACTCCACCCCATCATTGTTGTCTGTGTCCATTGGTTATGCATACATGCATATAAGTTCTTTGGTTTATCTCTTCCCTCCCCCCTCAACCCCCTCTTCTGAGGTCTGTCATCTGTACCCTACTACTATGTCTCTGGGTCTATTTTGTTCATCAGCTTATTTTGTTCATTATATTCCACAAATAAGTGAGATCATGTGATATTTGTCTTTTATTGATTGGCTTATTTTGCTAAGCATAATACTCTCTTGGTCCCTCCATGTCATCTCAAAGGATAAGAGATCTTTCTTACAGCTGCATAGTACTCCATTGTGTATATGTACCACAACTTTTTTATTCATTTGTCTATTGATGGACACTTGGGCTGTTTCTAGATCTTAGCTATTGTAAATAGTGGTACATATATTTACAATAGGGGTACATATATTCTTTCTGATTGGTGTTTCAGGCTTCTTAGGGTATATTCCTAGAAGTGGGAAAATGGCACTTCAATTTTTAATTTTTTGAGAAAACACTATGGTGTTTTCCATAGTGGCTGCACCAGTCTGCATTCCCACCAGCAGTGTACTAGAGTCCCCTTTTCTCCACACCCTCACCAACACTTGTTGTTTGATGATTTGTTGATGGCGACCATTCTGGCAGGTGTGAGGTGATACCTCATAGTTGTTTTAATTTGCATCTCGCTGATGATTAGTGACTTTGAGCATTTTTTCATATGTGTCTTGGCCATTTGTATGTGTCTTGGTCCTGTTTTGAGAGGTGTCTCTTTAGGTCCTCTGCCCATTTCCTAATTGGGTTCTTTGTCTTCCTTTTGTTGAGTTATATGAGTACTCTATATATTTTGGAGATTAACCCCTTATCTGATGTATCATTGGCTATTATGGTCTCCCATATAGTGGGTTCCATTTCCATTTTTTAAAATTTTTATCCTCACCCAAGGACATTCTTCCATTTTTTGTTCAGATGGAGTGGAAAGGAGAGAGAGGAAGAGAGAGAGAAACATCGACGTGAAAGGGACACATGGAGTGGCTGCCTCCTGCAGGGCCCAACCAGGGCCAGGGACAAACTGCAACTGAAGTATGTGCCCTTAGCAGGAACTGAACCCGGGTCTCTCTGGACCTCAGTTCGACGCTCTAACCACTGAGCCAAACCGGCCAGGGCTCCCTTTCCATTTTGATGGTTATTTCTTTGGCTGTGCAGAAGCTTTTTAGTTTGATGTAGTTCCACGTGTTCATTTTTTCCTTTGTTTGTTTTGCCTTAGGCGTTGTATCAGAGAAAATTCTGCTGCGTATGATGTCTGAAATTTTGTTGCCTATATTTGTTTGTAGGTTTTTTATAGATTCATGAGTCACAGTTAAGTCTTTTGTCCATTTTGAATTTATTATTGTGTATGGTGTAAGTTGGTGGTGTTGTTCATGGTCATTTTTTTGCATGTAGCTGACTAATTTTCTCAGCACCATTTATTGAAGAGACTGTCTTGACTCCACTGTATGCTCTTGCCACTTTTGTCAAATATTAATTGAGCATATTGTCTTGGGTTCATTTCTGGGTTCTCTATTCTGTTCCATTGATCTATCTACCTGTTTTTGTACCAGTACCAGGCTGTTTTGATTATTATGGCTTTGTAGCATAACCTGATATCTGGTATTGTGATCCCTCCTACTTTGTTCTTCTTTTTCAACATTGCTGTGGCTATTTGGGATCTATTTTGGTTTCATATAAACTTTGGGAGTGTTTGTTCTAGTTCTGTGAAATATGTTGTTGGTATTTTGATGGGGATTGCATTGAGGCTATATATTGCTTTGGGTAGTATGGACATTTTAATGATGTTAATTCTTTCAATCTATGAACATGGTATATACTTTCACTTTTTTATATCTTCCTCTATTTCTTTTTTCAATGACCTGTAGTTTTCTGTGAAGAGATCCTTTACTTCTTTGGTTAAGTTTATTCCTAGGTATCTTAATTTTTTTTTTTGCTGCAGTGGTAAATGGGATTTTTTTTTTTAGTTTCTCTTTCTGTGTGTTCATCGTTGGTGTATAAGAATGTTGTCAATTTCTTGTCGTTAATTTTTTATCCTGCTATTTTGCCCAATTTATTTATTAGCTCTAGTAGATTTTTGATGGAGTCTTTAGGGTTTTCTGTGTACAATATCATGTCATCTGCAAATAAGGACAGTTTCACTTTTTCCTTTCCAATTTGGATCCTTTTTATTTTTCTTTCTTGTCTAATTGCTGTGGCTAAGATTTACAGTACTATGATAAATAAGAGTGGCAAAAGTGGGCATCCCTGTCTTGTTCCTGTTCTTAAGGCAAATGCTTTTAGTTTTTGCCTATTGAGTATGATGGTGGCTGTAGGTTTTTCATATATGGCTTTTATTATGTTGAGATATGATCCCTCTATTTCCATATTGCTGAGTGTTTTTATCAGAAATGGGTGCTGGATTTTGTCGAATGCTTTTTTAGCACCTATTGCTATGATTATATGGTTCTTATCTTTCATTTTGTTTATGTGGTATATCACTTTGATTGATTTGCAAATATTGTACCAGACTTGCGTCCCTTGGATGAATCCCACTTGATCATGGTGAATAATTTTTTTTAATGTATTGCTGGATCTGATTTGCTAGTATTTTGTTTAGGATTTTGGCATCTATGTTCATCAGGGATATTGGCGTGTAGTTTTCTCTTTTTGTAGTGTCTTTATCTGGTTTTGGAATTAGAATTATGCTGGCCTCATAAAATGAGTTTGGAAGTATTCCTTCTTAGATTTTTTTTTTTGAATAGTTTAAGGAGAATGGGTGTTAGGTCTTTGAATGTTCGGTAGAACTCCCCCATGAAGCCATCCGGGCCTGGGCTTTTGTTTGTTGGGAGTTTCTTGATTACATCTTCAATTTCTATTGTTGTTATTGGTCTGTTCAAGTTTTCTATCTCTTTCTGGTTCAGTGTTGGGAGACTGTGTTTTCTAGAAATTTGTCCATTTCGCCTAGATTGTCCAATTTGTTGGCGTATAATTGTTCATAGTATTTTTAACTATCCTTTGTATTTCTGTGGACGCTCATTCCACTGAGCCACACTGACCAGGCTGTTCTTTTTAATTTTTAAAAAATGCTAGTATTACCCATTAAATTGATTTTATCACTCCCTGATGGATTTCAACCTGTAGTTTGGAAAACACTGTTCTAGTTTGCTCATGCTGCAGGACTGACAGCTGGATGTTAGGATAATCACTGCTAAAACAGGTTTTACCTTTATCACCTCAAAGAGAATATCCTGATGGTGATTACCAAAGGAAAGTTAACAGGATTATCAAGTTGTGGGTGGTGAATGCCATAAAACTAAAATACACGTAACTTGTATTTTTATCCTTAGGTGGCTACAGACAAGGTTGCAGAAAAGTTGAGTTCTACTCTCTCATGGGTGAAGAACACAGTATCATATACAGTCAGTCAGATGGCCAGTCAGGTGGCAAGTCCATCTGCTTCATTACACACTACATCCTCATCTACCACACTATCAACGCCAACCCTTTCACCATCTTCTCCGTCACAGCTGAGCCCAGACGACTTAGAACTCCTGGCTAAACTGGAGGAACAAAATAGGTAAGTGAGGTTGCTTGGTTTTTCTCTCCAATTATCATACAAACTCAACCATTGATATATGTATATATGTCACTATCAAATTTTAAATATTTACTCATATTAAGAATGTTTATTTTCTTGTGTTTGGCTCATTGTTTTATCAAAATTACTTAAAAGTATTAAAGTCTTTTTTGGAGTTGGTCTTAAAACAACTGTTGGACTGAAACTTTTTTTTTTTTTGGCTCACATTGCTTTATATGTTTCTTTTCTTTATTTTATTATTATTTTTCCATTACCATTTTATATACTCTTCCACCTCCACCCACTACTCTCCCTGTATATTTATTTTCTTAGTATAGAATATTCCCTAAATTCTTTCTGAATTTTAGAAAAGAAACTAAAGGCCAATAAAACCACCATTTTTGTTTTAAACTCTCTAAATAGTCCCCTTTGATTAAGTTGTAAAATAATTTAATCAGGATGGATGTCTGATTTGTGTTTTAGAGTGGGAAATGTCTTCATAAATTTAGTCATTGAAGGCAGAGTATCCTTTTCTGTTGATGGATATGAAATAGTTGTTCGCTTTTCTAGGAATGTGTGCTCTGGACCCTGTGTGCCCTTTTACTATATTATTGAAAGCTCTTTAGGGTATCAGTTACAAAAGAATTATTGGAAGAGCAACTTTTTGTGTTTAGTCAAGGTATATATCACCACTCACTTTAAAGTGTTATAGCAGAGATAATTTCTGACAGCTTTTTTGATATATAATTGACATGATAATAAGGTATATAATTTGATAGGTTTAACATATGTATATTCCATGAAATTATCACCAAAATCAAGAAAATGAACATTATTTCCTTTCCCATCCCCAGGAAGCCATTGATCTGTTTTCAAACTAGATTAATTTGTATTTTCTAGAATTTAATAGAAATGAAACCATGCACTATGTACTCTTTTTTTAAATGGATTATTTTACTCAGCATAATTATTTTGAGATTCACCCATGTTGTAGCACACAAATAGTTCATTTTTATTGTTTAGTAGTATTCCATTGTATAGGTATATCATAGTTTACATACTCATTTGTTGTTATGAAATGCTATAAACATTTGTGTACAGATTGCTTTGTTTAGAATGGACATTTTAATGATGTTAATTCTTGCTATTCATGAACACAGTATATGCTTCCACTTATTTGTATCTTCTTCAATTTTTTTCTTCAGTGTCTTACAGTTTTCAGAGTCCAGGTCTTTTATATCCTTGGTTAAATTTATCACCAGGTATTTTTTTAAATGGAATTGTTTTCTTACTTTCCCTTTCATGATAGTTCATTATTGATGTATAAAAATACAGCCAATTTCTGTATATTTATTTTGTATCCTGCTACTTTACTGAATTTATTAGTTCTAGTAGGTTTTTGGTGGAATCTTTAGTGTTCTCTATATACAGTATCATGTCATCTGCAAATAGTGACAGTTTTACTTTTTTCTTTCCAATTTGGATGCCTTTTATTTCTTCTTCTTGTCTGATTGCTGTGGCTGGAACTTCCAGTATTATGTTTGAATAAGAGTGGTGAATGTCGACATCCTGTCTTGTTCCTGATCTTAATGGAAATGCTTTTCATTTTTGCCCATTTAGTATAATGTTGACTGTGGGTTTGTGATATATAGCCTTTATTACACTGAGGTTTGCTCCCTCTATTCCCACTTTGCTGAGAGTTTTTATAATAAATAAGTGCTAGATTTTATCAAATGCTTTTTCTGCATCTGTTGATAAGATCATGTAATTTTTATCTTTCATTTTGTTTATGTGGTGTATCACGTTTATTGATTTGCAGATACTGTATCAACCCTGAATTCCCAGAATAAATGCCACTTGATCATGGTGTATGATTTTTTTAAAAAATATATCTTTTTATTTTATTTTATTTTATTTTTTTGAGAGAGAGGAAGGGAGGAGAGATAGAAACATCAGTGTGAGAGAGAAACATTGATTGGCTGCCTCCTGCACACCCCCTTCTGAAGGTCGAGCCTGCAACCCAGGCATGTGCCCCACCAAGAATGGAACCGGGTCCTCTCCGTCCATTGGAGCCACACCGGCTGGACTATGATCTTTTCAAAGAATTGCCAGATCTGGTTTGCTAATATTTTGTTGAGGATTTTAGCATCTATATTCATTAGGGATATTGGCCTATAATTTTCTTTCCCCCCCTTTATAACAAGTTTTATAAACCTATCAAGCCATTTTTCATTAAATAGTAAGATTCTCATTGAAAACAAGCTTCAAGTTTACAAGTTAGAAGAGTGCTCCATCTTTCCCAACAGCTTGATGCTGCCCCCTAGTGCTTTGTTCCTCTTGAAGTTTTATTGAGTTGAGCTTCACCTTCCCTTTCTTCACCTTTTCCTAAAACAAGATCTATTTATATTATGATTGGATTCCTTAGCGCTATATGTCTAGTCTACTGGGCATTTCCTCCAGCTGCTGGTTAGTGTTTCTAATAAGATAGACGTAGTCATTTTGAATTGGTTAATTTTGATTGCTTTTAGCCCCTAGTTTTCCAAATAGGTGGTGAGTTTTGTGTGGAGATAAAAGAGTATAATGCCAAATTTCCTTGCAAGAGTATATAGGGGATTTTTCAAAGCTAGAAGAGGGATATACGTTAGTGGTGTAGCTATGAAATTAGCTTTGTATATGAATAACAGCAATTTTATTAATTTAATCTGTGATTTGTCTTGAAAAGAGTGATAAAAATTTGCTTTCTAGCCCACGCTGGTGGAGCATCATAATGTTCACCAAAAGGTGATGGGTTCAATTCCCAGTCAGGTCACTTTACCTAGGTTTTGGGTTCGATCCCAGGTTGGGGCAGAGGCAACCAGTTGATGTTTCTCTTTTTTGTAATGTCTTTATCTGATTTTTGAATTAGGATAATCCTAGCCTCATAAAATGAGCTTGGGAGTCTTTCTTACTCTTGAATTTTTTGGAACAGTTTGAGAAGGATAGGTTTTAGTTCTTTGAATGTATGATAAAATTCACCTGTGAAGCCATCCATTCTAGGACTTTTTTTGTTGGAAGTTATTTTTATTGCCACTTCAATTTTTTAGTTATAATTGGTCTATTCAGATTTTCTGATTCTTCCTGATTTAGTTTTGGAAGATTATACATTTGCAGGAATTTATCCATTTCGTCCAGATTGTTTAATTTGTTGGCATATAGTTATGTGTAATTTTTTCTTACAATCCTTCACATTTCTTTGGTGTCAGTTATTCTCTTTTATTTCTGATTTTATATATTTGGTTCCTCTTTTTTCTTGATGAGTCTGGTTAAAGGTTTGTCAATCTTATTTATTTTGTCTAAGAACCAGCTCTTGGTTTCATTGATCTCTTGTATTATTGTTATTTTTTATTGTTTACTTCTGTTCTGATCTTTATTATTTCCTTTCTACTTCTCACTTTGGGCTTTGTTGTTTTACTCTAGTTCCTCTGAGTATAATGTTAGATTGTTTATTTGAGATTTTTCTTGTTTCTTGAGGTAGGACTGTAATGCTATGAATTTCCCTTTCAGGACTGCTTTTGCTGTGTCCCATAAGCTTTGGGTTGTTGTGTTCTCATTTTCATTTGATTTCTTCCTTCGTCTCATTGTTAACCCATTCATTGTTTAGTAACATGTTATTTAGCCTCCATGTCTTTGTGTATTTTTCAGTTTATTTCTCGGGATTGATATGTAATTTCGTACCATTATGGTCAGAGAAAGTGCTTGATGTGACTTCAGTCTCTTAAATTTATTGAGCCTTTTTTTGTGTCCTAACATGTTTTGTGTCCTAACATTTTCTATCCTGAAACATGTGCACCTGAAACAATGTATATTCTGCTGCTTTGGAATGAAATACTCTGAAGATATCAATTAAATCCATCCAATCTAGTATGTCATTTTAAGGCCACTGTTTCCTTGTTGATTTTCTATCTTGAAGATCTACTGATGTCAATGGGGTGTTAAAATCTCCTGCTATTACTATATTACTGTCAGTCTCTTCCTATATGTCCATCAAGATTTGCTTTATATACTTAGGTGCTCCTGTGTTGGACGCATAAATGTTTAACCTCTTGTTGGATTGCTCCCTTTATAAATCATTATGTAGTGTAATTGTTTCATATCATTTGTTGAAAAGACTATTCTTTCTCCACTTAATTACTTTTGCATTTTTGTAAAAAATCAGTTGTCCATGTATATATTGACCTGTTTCTGTACTCAGTTCTGTTCTATTGATCTATTTGTGTATCTTAATGCCAATATTATACTGTCTTGATTATTGGAACTTTATAATAAGTTTTAAAATCACATAGTCTTAATTCTCCATCTTTGTTCTTTCATTTTGATTATTTTTGGTTCTTAGCATTCCCATATGAATTTTATATCAAGTTGTTAATTTCTACAAAAATACTTGCTGAGATTGTGATTGGAATTATATTGAATCCCTGACAATACTGCCTTCCACCTATGAACACAACCTATTTTTTATTATTACTTGTGCATGATATTATTTCTGTAAGTTTAATATTTTATTGTTCATTGCTAGCATATAGAAATGCAATTGTTTCTCTTTTATTAATCATGTATCCTGCTGCCTTGTTAAACTCACGTTATTCTGGTAGGTTTTTTGTTCTTGTTGTTTTACATTTTATTAGATTTTCTATATAGATGAGCATGTTGACAGTGAGTGAAATCACTTTTACTTTTTTCTTTTCAAACTGGATGCCTTTGATCTCTTTTTTTTTTGCCTTATTGCAATGGGCTATTTGTACCTACAATAACAGAGTATAAATGGTGAACAGACATCCTTTTTGTTAGGGATAGGGTTAGGATTTTATGTGTATGAAGGTATTGGTTTTTCCTTCTTGCTTATTATGTCTGAAAGATTTTGAGCAAAATCTGTTTGTTTTTTTTTTTATCCTCACCTGAGGACATTTTTTCTTTTCTTTTTTTTTTTTTTTGTTTGTTCAGATAGAGTGGGAGGGAGAGAG